AAGTACCTACCTGGGTTAGGGAAACCACTAAAAATAATTATACAAGTTATAATCAATGTATTTCAGGCCTGAAGAAGGTGTTATACACCGAAATATCGCGGAAGTTTCCAAAGGAATTCTTTTAAATTTTTGGCTCGTTTTTTGGAGTATTTGGACTTTTGTGAACTTTTGGAATTCTTTTGGAATAAAACTTTTGGAGCTTCTCTGTGTTAAACAAATTTAGGTCAGTAAAGTGTTAAATGCAATCTCACGAATATTGATAGCTTTCTAGGTAGTGGCTATGTGCACCAGTTTCGGATTAAATAAGTAAGATCCCTCTCATAGCTCAACTCGAATACCTTTGCTTTTTGCAGCTGCTTGATCGCCGATTCCTTTTACCTGCTTCCATAGCCTATGGTACGTCAAGATTTCTCAGAGAATTTCTACCGACGGTAATTGAAGCGGTGGCATCGCTCCAGGTGGATAGAAGCGTTGTCGCCAAGGAGAGTGTCGTTTGGTGAGTACAGTGACCGTAATGTTGCGCTTTTCCCGGAAACTAGGTTGTAGAAGTTTTTGTTTATTTTGATATCAGTTAATGTATAGGATAGTTTTATTTAGAAGTAATTTGTGCTATCTGGAAGCTTTCCACCCAGCTCATTCTTTACATTTGCACTTCCTTTTGTAAATATTGCCTTCGGGACAGCGCTCGCAATACACGGGGCATCTTTTAGAAGTATGCAGGAGCCTTGGGGAAAATGAGCATGGCTATCACACTTTGAGTCTCTCCTCTCCCACTCGAGGCTTAATGGTTCCGGGGTACCCCCAGGAGGCCCGTCGCGCGGCAAGAAGGCAAAGTCAGCGGACGAGTCGCGCGTACTATAGGGATTTCGCGTCAAGTTAAATAGAATGTCCCATTGCACGTCCTACATCGCACACCACGCGCTGCAACTCGTCCGCCGACTCTGCCTTCTTGCCGCGCGACGGGCCTCCTGGGGGGTACCCTTGGTCCCATATTGAACAAAAACGACATACTTCACGCGGTTTGAAGTGCATTGCCACCACAGTGTCCCCGTATCTTACGATAGTGCCCTATTGACTATACCTCGTGTTTCAGGCTATCGAAAAGATATGGTCCTGTGATAAGCGCTCGATTCATCACAGCAAATCTTTTACGAGTCCTCGGATCATGTTATGCTGGAATGACGTTAATAGGCTCTGATCAGGAACCGCAAGTAATTTTCCTACTACCAGGGGACCGTGAAACAAATACTGAAAATAATTTTGGTGAATTTACAGTCAGTATTTACTTTGTCTTTGCTTGGTGACGAATGCGGTGCTCGAGTGGAAGCTTGTCTAGCCGAAATTGCTGCCACCTACAGTGTTACGTTCATAACGGTTAGTGTTGAACTCATCTACAGTATGCGATACAGTATCCTTTGTTGTTTCAGGTGCAATATCTGCCGTTCTGTGTCGATTTAGTGGAGCAGGCGACCAGAAGACTCACACCACAGATCGAGGCTGGTCTGCTGGCAGCGTTCCGGATTGTTCGACTCAGTGCCAAATCAATGAGCGATCATCAACTCATGAACTATCTTGAGGGTGTGCTGCACTGCCACGCTCGTGTTTGTCGTAGGGCAATGGCATAGCGGGGAGCGTTGCGGAGGTGTGTCGCGACACAATGGCGACTGTTCTGATCAGCATGTGCGGTGATGCAGAAGCGATATCGGTATGATCTCACCTAGCTAGTCAAACACTTCAGAACTTCTTTACTTGGTGCCGCCCTCGTATGGGAGGATAAAAGCATTGACTTGTACAGCAGTTAGCTCCTTAAAGTTTAGTTAAGCCAGTTACGCGTAACTTGTAGCGCACTTGCCCAGTATGAGAGGGGTGCGGGATCGAGTGGGGCTCATTTTGTTCATAATCGAGCATTCTTGTGAAACAAGGAAGGACAAGCGCAGCAGCGAAGAGAGAATGTGTGAAAGGAGCGAAGTTATACGAAATGTGACAGATAGACGGCCGCTAATGAGGTTGCTCGGAACCACTAATCAGAAGCATTGGCAAGGCTCTAGCGTCCTTGTCGCCCGCTTTCTAACCGTGCGCATGGTGCAGCCTGTAGCCTCCGAGGTCTAGTCGCGAGGCTCGGTTTCAAAGGAGGAATCTAAGATAAGAGCGAAGGAAGAATGATAAATTCACTTAGAGTAGAGAAAGGCGGACCCCCTAAGGGTGCGAACCAGCACACACTTCGCCTCGAAGATTATCCGCCGGCGCTTAATATGAGCTTTGGCGGCAGTTGGGCGGAACGGCCGCGCGATCATCTAGTCCTCTCGCCGCAGGTCTTAATAATAGCTGCAAAGCGATTAGCAGAAAGAGCTTAGTGTTTGTTGCGGAAATCAACAGGTAAGGAAGGGGGTCCCATTTTTTTGGTTTTGAGCCGTTTCACATGGTTTCTTCTTTATCTCTCCTCCACTGACCCCCTCTACCCCGCATTTCATAAGAGTTCCTTCATCGCTAAAAATCTGCCTTTAACAGCAGACAGTAAAATTAAGTGTCCAGATTACTATACTGGAAATAATGGTAAAATTTCCAACAAACGTCTCCTTCGGAATGTACAGGGTGGTCCAAAATTATGAGGACCAAGACATTGTGTCTTTAAAAACGCATAGTAGCTTGATGGAACAAACCAACTTCAGGGAAGTATTTGTAACTCTTACCTCAAAGTAATTCCAGAATAGAATTGAGATCTGCCACCTGCCCCGTTACACGAGCCTTCAGATGAAGGGGATGGCGCGTGCGGTGGCACGCAACTGAAGGCGTGTCCAAATGTTTCCAGGCCTTCTGCTCTGCCTTCTTCAGGGAATCAAACTTTTGTGGGGCATTTATTTGCGCTTGCATCCAGGGTGTGAAATACAGAAATCTAGAGCTATCAGGTGGAAGGTTCCATTGTAACAATTCTTCGAAAGCAACGAACTCGAAAAATCGCTTTTTAGAGAATTTTTGCTTTATTCTTGGGTGCTCGGTCCTGTAAGAAGTCCCAAGTAGACTACTCGTGTGGCTTTCTATCCACTACAGATGTGGAGTCTTTAGAGTGTCTGGCTGGGTTTTCACATCAATTTTTTCATTTTGGGTGTACGAAAGTCGACAAGGGGAGACCTAGTTTCTGCATCTGATAATTATCCTGGTGGTAACTGTAACTTTCGAGTCCCCGAATTTTCCATCTGTGGTGGTTCCAAACTTATTGAAGAGTTGAACTGTTGCTCATAAGGGCTTCCCTGATAGGTTAGACTGCTGCTAGATGTAACGTGCCAGAGCCCCTAGTGAGTTCAATTTGAGGACTGACTCAAAGTGAAGTAGTTATTTCACTAGTTTTGAGAACTTCATGAAATTTGGTTTCATTAGGAAGAAGACATTGTACCCTCTCACATAGTGCACAGAAAACGAGATGAAAATGGAGCGATACGGAAAAAAGTGGATATGACTGCGCGCGCACGCGGTCCTCATAATTTTGGACCACCCTGTAATTAGTAAACAGCTAGGCCATTCTGGAAAGTTTTGATTGGATGCTCTGCTTACCTAGTTTGCTGGCTAAACAGCCGTAATTCAGAACATTTCAGTTCCTCACCGCCATTATTTGGCACTAGGGGTAGGCGGTCTACACAGAGGCTTTTTAAATGCCTCTTGCATGCACAATAAGACAGCTATAGCCACAACGTTCCACCATGGCCGATAGAAATATGAATAGCTTTCTCGAGCTTGAAATAGCGTTCATTATTTCTTATCTTAACCATCGCACCTTTTGGCTGTTTCAGGACTACATTGTTGACAAGGTTATCGTCCAAGTGCTCCAGCTTGTTCTGAACGCGAACAGTTCATTCTTTGACGACCGCTCACGAGTTATTGTCGGTGCAGGGGTTAGCAAAGATTCCTTTTAGTTTACCTTTGCTAAATTTTTCGGCTTCATTTCCAGATTTTTAGTTGTATTCTGAATTTTATTTAATTTGTTTTCGTTTTGACTGAAAAGGTTTCGAATTTTGCTTTACCGCAAGAACTTCCATACTGAAATTCCAAACTTATCTTTTTGATTTTAATAATTTTTTTGTTTATGTCATTTACTAAATTTTACTCTAATACTATGTCGTACATATTCCAGGCAGTGTCCTTACTGTACAATATTTCGATGAGGATTGGTCTAGAAAACACAAGAATGTACGCGAGAAAGCCATTCGAGTTGATGTTCGAAGCGTTCGGCAAGCTATACGAGGCCGATGAACAGTTGAGAATATCGGCGAAGAAGTTGAACTCAAATGATGTAAGCGATTTGATAGACCTTATCGTTTTTATTATTGTGCTTTACTTCCATCTGGGAGAGACACTTAGCACATAGAATGCTTAAGTGCCCAGAATTCAGTTAAGTATATTCAGAACAAGAGAATGAGTTGCTAGTGCGTTGCTATGCGCTCACCTATTCATTTCGTGGGACGCGCCATGCATTCAACTTCCATTCGTAATCCACACCAACTGATGTAGTAATCGGCGTTCAATCACGAAAAGGATATGGTACCAATTCAGCGACCCCGTAGGGATAGAAAGCTTTGTTATCCTGGGTGAGATATGTTGGCCAGGCTGATTGTGAGATACCATGAATTGATCCGGGACCAGTGGTAGCAGTGCTCTGAAATATTATTGAGTTAGGCAATTTAGTGACCCATTTCTCCAGCTCTGGGCGGAAGTGGTGTAGTGGCAAGTGGCACGCTTTTTTATCCTTTTATCCTTCTCCAGCTCCACTTCGTTCTATCTAGTAGCCAAAACTCCTCATGATAAGTCCCAAGAAATTTCAAAGGGACATTCTTGCAATGACTCTTATCGCTGTGAACTATGCCATGTTATCAAAATGATAAAGCATTTTGCATTGATCACTTCATTTTTGGGATACGCCACGCATCCCATTTTCATTCAGAATCGATTCGGTACTACACAGTAATAGTTCAGGAGTGGAGGATAAAGCGCTCCTCGTAAGGCTGGGAAGCCACTCTAAAGATCTGTTTGTAGCGAGCAACGTTCAGAATTCTACAGACGGTCATGCATTCTGCCGCGATCATTCTGTTTCTGCCAGTGAATTTTTCCAATTTTCTAGACAGTCGCGTCGATACCGCTATGGTTCGTTTCGTCAGTGATAGATCGATTTGCGTGCTCGTGGGGAGTTCCCCTTCTTTCGTCGTTCTGCTCGGACCCCGCTTTCCTTGTGCCATTCGTCAGCTCACAAGGTAAACTTGGGTTCATTATCTGGCTGGCATTTTTTACACTTTCGCATAGGGCCGTATGCTATGCTTCCCCGAAGCTAAGTGATCCAAAGTTTCCTTTAAATTTACTTGTTTTGAACGATATAGTTTCTTCATTTTCAGTGCATGTTTACTTTTACCTACATACATACATTAAATGTAGGCACCTAATCAGGGCAATCCCAGATGGGAAGACAGAGAAATTCAAAGGATTTTCGTTCTCCAACCCCTTCGGGGAAGAGGAGATCGGCCATAATTTCACCTGGCTTCCCGTGCTGCACTATTCAACTTCAGTATATCATGTGTATCTGTGATAATTGCACTTCCCCAGTATACCACGTATGGACTAACAAGGGAAGGATACCAGGTCGAAGTGGCCATTTGTAAGAAGACCACTTCACCTGGTATCCTTCCTTCGTTAGTCCACACGTCGTATACTGTATGTTATACGATCGATGACATACACCACTAGATGTGTTTTTGGACGCTGATCTTGAATCTGCTCTCCAAATCTGCGGAACGATTCTCTGAACGTAGTTATGAAGCGAAATAGTGCAGTGGCAGCGGCCCGAGCCGACGAACAGTAGGTCGTGAGATCGACTTCTTGGCGAGTTATCAGCTTTGCTTTTTTAGAGAACATTGTTTAAAGGAATCTCATTCATGCTAAATCATCAGCGACTGCCTATCCTGCAAGTGGATAGAGCTGGCGAAGAGCTTCGAACACTATGCGCGTCATTTGCAAATGACCGTCTCTGGTACTCGTAGCGCACGTGTCAGGCACTTTCGTGCCGAACAGATATGATATTCTTGTTCAGCGTGTCAGACTACCCCTTCCGAGGACTTTTGGTCCAAATCTAAACTGACCTGAAGTTGAAAATCTGGGCACACACGACCGAATGGAAACGGCAAATGACGCGCATAGTGTTCGAAGCTCTTCGCCAGCTCTCCCATTTGCAGGATAGGCAGTCGCTGATGATTTAGCATGAATGAGATTCCTTTAAACAATGTTCTCAAGAAAAGCAAAACTGACAACTCGCCAAGAAGTCGATCTCACGACCTCTTGTTCGTCGGCCGGGCCGCTGCCACTGCACTATCTCGCTTCATAACTACGTTCAGAGAATCGTTCCGCAGATTTGGAGAGCAGATTCGAGATCAGCGTCCAAAAACACATCTAGTGGTGTATGTCTCGTTACAAATGGCCACTTCGACCTGGTATCCTTCCCTTGTAAGACGTTTTCTGCTGCAGGGCTCGATTCTGAAACCAAAATCATTAAAGTCCCGTTCTTGGCGTTCTAGGAGATTATGAGAATGGGAGATCATGGGTCAGCTCATGAAAAACATTTTACAAAGTTGAGACATTAAGGAAATCAACCTGAAGTGAAGGATTACTAAGAATTATCTGGAAGCGTTTTCAGTGGCCAATTCGCCGTCATCGTTACGCGTGACGCCGTTGTACCAGTTGAACAGCTTCCCGTCAGGCAATCGTCTCCTCTCGCTGTCATCTCCATCTTCGCAATCGAGCCTTACCAGTATCGGAGGAGTTGGGTAGGTCTGGTATTTCCGTGAAATTTCTTATAGACGTCAGGCTCATTGAGCCAACCTTCTGTGCTTTAATACAAATTTGGATTGCTTTGAATTTTTTGTCAGTACGGCCTACGTTTTTCCAGATTGTGTGAGTCCACATCGCTTAGCGCCCTCTGGTGTGCACGAATATCAGCAGCTGTGTGCGCTGCGGAAGGAAAGTGAGTTTTTATAAATATGCGGCTCAGGTGCTGTAGAAGTGTTGGTAAGGCCAAGCTTGCTCTAACGACTTTCCTAGAAGGCTAGGTTACTGTTTAGTACGCCGGCAGGGTAATGCCATGTTGAAAAGAGGAACCCTAGTAAATCTCTCATTGCTATCATGTTTCTTTTCTTCAATAGAATACTCGAGTTTTAGTTCCATGTTACGTATCCCGGGTATTACATAGCAATTGCTCCTCAAAAACGCTCTCACACGTCATTTCATTCGAAAAGTTTTGTGTGTTGTACTAGGTATGTATATCAATTGTGCAGCACCTGTATATTTTTACTTCTCGAACATATTTCACTAATTTTCATTACACATTTTAAATCCACCATCATTGTATGGAGGAGTTCTTATATTGCTCATTGTTGTGGAGATTCGTAGCATAGTACCCTATCATTGCACTAGTCCAGAAACGTGGCATTTTGTTCAGTTGACCCGTTTGATCCATGTTTTCTGTCTTGAAATTGTATACTTCTTAATGTGATATTATTTGCGTTCTATCGGTGATAGGAATTTTCTTGACTTTTAAGTGGTAAAGTTGACTGTTGCATATGATTCATAGAAGAAGTACTGAGCTTCAAGTTATTCCTTCCTGCAATTAATTTGGGTGTTTTTTTTTTCAGAAAAGCCCTCTTCTACAGTTGCAATTCAATCTGCTTACCCTACCACTCGAAGATTTATTAGACATGTTACTCTCATCTTTCATTAATACCCATTTCCCACACTGGTTCCCCATTAAAGAGTAGGCAAAAATGAGGCAGCAAACGGCACACTATGCATGTTGTGTCACTTTCTGATCGAAATCCGCCCAGGCCATCTAAGCCTTGCACCTCTTCTTTGCTCGAGCCAATTGATACAATATTTCTGGGAGGATAAATGGGTGTAACGTAAAATGTACAATACAATATGCAATACAAGTTCATCGACTGGCTTTTGCATTATATGTCTAGTCCAACTGGGCCAAATTTGTAAGCACCACGATTCAGAAGTTTGGTTCGGATGCACGTCAGCAATGTGTCAAAAATATTGATCAACAGCCATGGGTTTCATACCCTTCCTCACGTCGTTGAAATGAATGTTCATGTATTCCCAAGGAGCAAATCGTTTATGACGAAATTCAACATCAACATTTCAAATCTGCCTTTGAAAGTAAATTGGACTTCAGTTTAGTTCGCTGTTCAGGTCATCTCTTCGTTTCGATCATCTGACTCTGTGCACCTTCAACGGTCATTCGTCGTCCGTCCGTCGGATAGCCAGTCTATCAAATGAGAACTCGTTCATTTCGGCATCAGCCGATAAAACTGTGAAGTACGAATTTTCTATAACCAGCACAAGCATACCGCATAAATCTCAATAGTTTTCAGATTGTGGTCGATCAAACCCGAGTATGATACCGTGGAAGCTCAATGGACTTACAACAGGCACACAATCGTCCAAATCTATTTGATTTTTTTTTTTTTTATTTTTTTTTATTTTTTTTTTGATTTACTTTATATTCTGCAACAATTTAAATCGCATCCACTTGATGGAAACCTTCACGTGAGAATCTAATATTTCTCAGATCTTCGTTGACGCGGTCTTTAAAGAGGTTATCCTTCTGGGAAAGATCCGCTCTTGTCCCAGTCCCATTCGCAACGAGTATGTCTGCGCTCTCTCATCTATTGTGCTTCCTCGCCTAATCTTCTCTCACTCCTCCGTGCTCAGTATCTCATTCCCTACCACAGCCGATTTACAAAGCGGAGACGTCCCTAACTTTAGCGTTTCCGATGGATTATTTATTTCTTTTTTTACTGTCACTCCTCTTCACACCCTTGCTTTCATTTTCTGTGCAGTAATCATACCATTTGGATTGTGAGGTGTGCCTTTGAGTCCGGCTACTCACCGTTCAAAATCAATGAGAGTATGATTTTTTAAACTCTTATACTTACTTTCTTTTTTCTCTTCACTCAAATAACTTTATATTCCTTTCTATACCATGAGATGGCTACAGACAGATTTTCAATTCTAGGTTTGGGATCCATTCCGTGGCGCAATCATCACCCAGCTGGACTGGGACGGCGATGCAACGATCTGTGGCCTCTCGCATGTGGACAGACATTCTATGGCGGCCATATCGAGCCTTCATTCGACAGTTCGGTAGGTGTCACCACTTATACTCCCTTTCAAAAACGAGAAGAGCGTCGGGTGCAGACCATACACCACAAGTGACGACGGCCTCCACAAAATGTAAATGTTTTCTGCCAATGAAATGATTAGCCTGTTGCAGTTGTATTCTATCAGTTGTCACTAATTACAACTATCATTTACCAAAAATCAGCTATCACTATGAACCACTACTAACCAGATTTACTTGGAGGCCGTCGTCACTTGTGGTGTATGGTCTGCACCCGACGCTCTTCTCGTTTTTTGAAAAGGAGGGCAACTATAATTTTAGAATTGACCTGTGTTCAAGCTGATTAATTGACAACCTGTAGATTTTCGAAATTCTGAATTCTGAGTCGTTTCAGCCTCATAGACACTCGAACTGGTGGCTGGACCAGCGAGCTAAAGATTTCGAACCTTCCTGGCTTAACAAGGGCATTTTCAGTGCGCGAGTCTGGTAAATTTCTTTAGCATTTCGTTTTACCTAGTAATTTTACATTTGCCGTATTCAAGGTCGAAAAATGGTTGTGGCGTTATCGAATGGTACCATTGTTCTGCTTGATGCACGCACAGGCCGACTGGCTTCGCTTTCACATGGGAACAGCACCCATACGACCGCGGTAAGGGTGCCTTTCTCTTAATTTTCTGAACTGGGTTGTACGAAAGGCAGTTGCTGCTTTGATGGTCGGTTCAGAAGGGCACTTGTAAAAGAAAATCGAATGGTGGCGGTAACGGTTCTATTTCAAATACTTTGCCCTTGTCCTTCCAAGTGCCGGCGAAGGGCGTGTTTGAGGTGGAAAGGATTTCGGGGCTTATTCGATGTTTCGTCACGTCGTTCATAGCACACTTTTTGCTTCGGAAACGGTACCGTTCGTCTAAGAGGGGTACCCGACAGGAGGCCCGTTGCGCGGGAAGAAAGCAGAGTCAGCGGACGAGTTGCACCGTGTACTGTAGTGATGCCGACAACTTAAACAGAGTATATCCTAGTATGTCCCACATCGTCCACTACGCACTTCGAGTCGTCCGCTGACCTGCCTTCTTGTCGCGCGATGGGCCTCCTGTCGGGTTCTTGTCTAAAAGAATTTTCTCTACCCCCTACCAGCTACCTATCCTTCTCTTCATAGAGGATTGAGTTTTCTAATTGATTTTTCGTTTATTTTGATCAAATATGCCCAAGTTAGAAAAACATCGAACTGGGACCTTCTTTAATAGGGTTCGGTGGCTTTCGCTCGGGTTCCTGGGGATTGTCTGTGATGCAGATGAGAGTGTGGGAAACGTGTTCACTGCAAGTCCTCGAATTTCTTCCATACGGAAACTTTCCGACGTGGTCGTGAGTGCGTTTGTGAGCGACGACAAATTGGCCACTCTTCAGGGAAACAACGTCATCAGGTACCGGCTCCTTATCGTTCCCAATAAAAAATCGTCGTTTTGTTTAATAGCTCCCTTTAGGGTATACTCTGGTGCTGAGGTTGTGCTTGAAGCCAAAATGAAGTCCGATAGCCAATCTGGAAGTCCAGCTTCGATCTGCTACCTACCCCTGAACAACGCATATCTTATCGGATCTAATCAAGGTTCCATTCGCTTAATGTGCTAATATACTGTATTTGTATATATAGGTCTTTTATTTTTATTTACTGTCAGTGTCTGATTTTACCTCCTTATAGCATACGGTTAGATCTGTGATAATTCGCTTTGCATTTCAACATTACATAGTAAATCATTCCAATGCCAAATCGTTGTTTTCGTTTCCCAGGATTTTGTAAACAAAAACAGAACGGATTAAAAAATAAATAACATTAAAGTTCCCGCGCATTCCCGTACGAAAGCACAAGCGGCCAGGAAATTTCCATTTCCTGTGTGAACCCCTGCAAAGGGGTTTGACGAATGGTGTGCCATTGAGTTCCGTAAGTGCTACTAGATTTGTCTACCACTATAAAAACTGCAAAATAAAGCATTGGCTGGTTACCCCGCTTGTCCTTGTATAAATCCCACAGGCAATCAATCGTCTTTACCATTCTGCACGGCAGTTGAATGCCGGGCATTTCCCGAAGGGATTCACCAGCTCCATTAGTACTTCATCATCAACATGGAAAGAAAAGGGTCCTGGATCATTCGTAAAAACAAGAAGAGCTTGGTTAGTTGCATTGCATTGATAGGTGGCGCTGATTAATGTCTCTTGGCTGCACCTTCCGCTGGATCGAACTCCGCCCAGGTCAAATAAACCATGCCTCCATCGAGGGGCTGCATGATGTCAATCCGCGAACAGAAGCAAAACGCTGAGTTAAACATAAAAAACAAATGGGGACGTCAGAAGCACAATCAAATACCAACGCTGTTTTTTCGGGAAATGCACAATATCGCACTTGGGGGGGGGGGCAGAAAAGGAGTCACTTTGCTTATGGCGCACATCATCAAACTTTTCATCACAAACGGTGCGGTGTTAACGGAAGTTTACGTCCAAATACAGTGCGTATCATAAGTATAGACGCACCCCTGAAAGTGCCACGGGGACTTCCATAGTTCTCAACAGACATGCTTATCACCTTCTGAATCAGCATGCGCGAAAACCTATGTTAACCAGCTTTCACGTGAATTGGAGAGAATTCGGCCTTTTTCTAACAGGTGAGCATTATTTTGCCTGTATCAAAAGTATAGACGCACCTCGGAAATCTAATACATTTGTTATGAAAACAAACATATAACAACTTCTTGAATAATTAATTGTTCCTCC